TCAAACACTTTTTATCCCCTTGTATAGATGTATTTGTAGCTGTCTGAAAACTGTTGCCTAGTGTGGAAAGTTCTGGTGCTCAAAGTCAGCCAAAATATATTTGGGGGACTTCGAAACAAAACCAAAGAAAACATGAAAGAGATCAAAATTTTCACTTCACTTTCACCACACTTTTCAATTTTTATTATATTTGCTTTGTCTAGTAAGTTGGGAGCTGAAGAACAGCTGAATTTGCGGTGGCCATCTCTTTTTCTTTTTTTCTTACTGGAAAAGTAATTTGCGATTTCAGTAAATTTTCTAGGAGTGATTTTCTCAAACTGAAGTTCTTTTTTCTTCGGGCTTCTTGTGTAATTTTTAAAATTGCAATACAATAATGATAATTTGAGTTAAATCCTCTAAATTTTTAGATTTTATACAAAGCAGGAAACCCTTTGTTTGAAACAGCATATGAAGCACGCAGTTTCACCGTAAGATTTTTAGTTAACTGAAATCTGTTACCATGGCCTCAGTCTTTTACGTGTTTCAGTTCGTATGAACAGAGGGTGTGAAGTCCCATTGATTTTAATGAAAGTGCTCATGAATGAAGCAAAGCCGTACGTCATCAATGTTTGCAGATGTGTTTTTGTTTTCGTGCTCTGCGAACAATAGCCGTATTTGTACACCAGAAGAATGTCTGAACTGTTTTTACAAGGAAAACAGATTTACATATGTGTCTTTAACATGCTGTGAAATATTTGCAGGAAAACTCTTCCTTTATTATGACCTGAGAGTACCAGCTTAGGGAAATAATCCTTTAGACTATGCTAGTTGCCAGTTTGTTTTCAAACGCCCCAAAATCCAGGCCTCTCTGCTGCTATGCTGCTTTCTTTATTATTTTTCCCAATATGTTGTTTGTATTGGTGGTATTAGGAGATGTGGTTGAGGGACGGAAGAGAAACATAAGCACTAACAGTGTTCCTCGGTGTTTCTGCACACAACACTTTGCACGACATGAGTAATATATGTCATGCTGTGTTTAAATGCCTAAAATTGTCACTCAGTCAAATCTCTCGGGGAAAACACTGTGAATTGTAAACCATGATCCTCCACTCATTGCATGTGCCTATGCTGGGCCTTCAAGTGGCCTGTCAGTTTGTTCCCTATGGCAGTCTGGACTTCTGTGCCTCCTTTAAATTCCCTAGATGTTTTTGAATCTGTGAGCCCACCTGAGCATTTTTTACTAAGGGCCTAAGGTCTAACCTGAAACTTCAGTATATGTAAATTAGTTGGCCATTTATGATCCTGATAAGAGCCATAACATGCATCTTGCTGTAAGGTTGCGTGTTGTCCTTCTGCAGAGGTCACCCAGTGGCAAACGAATTCTTCAGCAAAGGTCATCAATAGTACGTATGTTCACTGAATTTTAAGTAGTCTTCTTTCTAGGTATATGCTTATCTTACATTTGAGTCTGCAAATCACACAAAAATCTTGATGTAACAATGAATTTGTTAAACCACAGAAGATGTCAGGAAAGGATAAGAGCAAATGGAGTAGTTAATAGGTCCTTGGCCTCAGCTTTTTCACACAGCGTAGTTTTAAATTTTAGCTGCAAGCAGGCAATGACATTTAGAGCTGTAAGATATACCAAGGGCTTTTTGGGAAGGATGGCCGAATGTAACTCTAAGGAGACAGGTTATGAAAGTGTAGCTTACAGCAACTTGCCAACAAAAACGAAAGAAAGAAAATATACTTTCTCAGGCTCAGAATGCAAACACCCTTTCAGGGAAACCAACTGAACACCACATGAATGGTCAGTAGAATTCATAGCTGAGTGTTGCTTCAGTTACAAAGGATACCAAGCCTTACTTTTGGAGAATAAAGCTGAAGGATGCTACTGTTTTATGGTCAAACAGGATTTTAAGTTAACTTGGTCATTACAGTGTTAGAATTTTAACAGTTGGCCTCACCCTTGCTGGAACTGCTTTGAACAGTCAATTTTACTATAAGATGAAAGAGAAAAAGGGTGCTTGTTTATCTTATCATTTGATATATTTTGGGTAATACAGCACGTTTGTATATTTATATATAGAAGCTTTTTTACTGTATCTTATATCATACAGTGTAGTATTTAATTATAATATTAACATACCTTCTCTTGCTCATTTAAAGTTTTGTAAAATTTCTTGTGTTGAAGAAGGCAATACAGTTATAGCCTGATATCGTCGATCAAATTACTGTTACAAGTCTCCTGTACCCACTTTCTGGACTCTGTCCTTCACATACCATTTAAATATTTTTTCTTTAAAAGGTCAGATGAAAAAATCTAGGAAAGTGAATCAGCTTTCTAGCACTAGTATCAGAAGCCTTTCCCTTGGTGGGTTTGTAGTGATAGAAGAGATAGTAGTTATCTGCAAGACTGTACAAAATTCCAACTAAATATCTTTGGTGCTTTCTGAGGACCAATTCAGTACGAATCTTCTATTTTCTCATTGACTATTTCCTCTTAAGAAGAAGCTGACATTGATTTTATTTCCCTAGTAGATAGAAAAATCAGACGAGTAAGTAGCATGAGTTGTCCTTGTTTTAATGCCCTTATGGGCAACAGCAACCACTTCCGCTTCTGTCTACAGAGTAGTGAAAAATACAAGTATTAGATGAATTACATATTTTGAGCTTTCTGTGTTTATGAATAAGAATGGAACATTAGTGAGAAAAAACCTGACCTTTTGTAGCTTTATAAAATTCCATACTGAAATAAGTTTGATTCTACTTTGAGTCTGATACTCGAGTAGCAACATGAAGAACCAAAATTGTCAGTTGCTGGTCTAATGTAATATTGTGGTATAATCAAAATTAGAATTAGATTTATTATTTTAGAATTAAATTAACTGGTGCAGAATGTTAGACAGATCGTTATATGCAGTCGTAAGTACACATAGCCAGATTCTTAGCTCCATTATATCATTACAGTACTAGGGGGATCCCAGATATAATTACAGACAAAATGTAGTCATTTATGCTTATAAAATATAAACACATTTTTGGGAAAGGTCTGCCTAATAAAGAAAAAAATTACAATGTGACTGTATTTTTGCAGTATTTACAGTATACGTCATGCCGGTACTTTGTGCTCATGTTTCTATTTGTTCTTCTCCATATGCTGAGTTTTTTAAAATAATCATGCTTCTAGATTCAACACCCTTACAACCAGTGCAGCAGTAGGTATCCAGGATACAGAGAATGAGAAAGAAACTAAGAAAGTTGTTTGTTTGTGTCATCAGCCATCTGTTAAAACAAAATCCTTCCACTTGGTAGAATATTTCTGCCAACATAAAATAGTTATGTTGTGGAACCTAACTAGCGTTATATAATAAAGAAAGCAGACTTGGCAAATTGAATTGCATGTTAACATTGAAATCTAACTTGGCAGAAGAGGTAATGCAGTAAAGCAGTAATAAATAGATAATTGACATGTACATGACCAAAATAGTATGCTTATTCAAAGGAGATTGAATCTCAAAGCCAATAAAGTTTTGAGCTACATCTAAAACTGCAGGTATTCCACAAATATTTTCACAAAAATTTAGTCAATCACTGAATTTGGCTTTTGATATTTAATTCTCTGAAGAGTAGTTTTTAATAGGTGCTCCAATTAAAGCAGATCAAAACTAAAGGTATTTTAGAGATTGCTTATTCATCCTGTAAGAATATTCAGACTCAAAATAGTGTTGTAGTTTTTTCGTTTGTTTGGTTTTAGTCTTTTTTTAGAAAAAAGTTGTGCTAAGTCAGCGAGAGACTTCATTCTGACGAGCTTAAAGCAGTTTAATGGGAATTAGAGTGAAATGATCTTAGAAAGCAAATTATCTTGTATTTGCCAGTTGTGGGGTTCCTGGCACCTTCCTTTGGAACATCTGGTACAAATGGCTTTCAGAGACCAGACGCTGCAGTATGTATCTCGTAAAAATGAAAATGCCTTTTGAGAATACAAGAAAAAGAATTGTCTGCAGTAGTAATCTGATAATGCTGGGGTTTGGCTCAGATGCAGCTTTGCGTGAATATCCATGACATATCAAATACTGTGTTGCTCTTCCTTATATTGCTGTTAAAAAAAATACAAAAAGAGTTATGATTGCAACAATGGAATACGTTTATGACAGAATGGTGTGCAATATTGTTTATTACTGCCATGTCTTTCTTACGTACTGCAGAACAAATGAAAGGCAAAAGAAGTGGTAAAGGATTCATGTTTCTGCTGTTTCTGTCACAACATTACACGGAATGCAGTGCTATATGTATGATACTGGGGATACCAAAATATGTCGATATCTAGAGGTCATAAAGAGTAAGATCTACTGAGGTTTTATTCTTCCATTCAAACACATGCAAAAACTTTAAAATATTTAATTTTACAACAGAGGTTTATAACAGTGGATTCCAAGACCCATCTGAAGACAAGTCAATTTTGTAGATTGTCAAATATGTCCTGACAAAGAGAGGTCTGTAGTCCACTTTAAACCCAGGATAACAGGACAGTTACTACTTCTGTTTCCTCTTTCTGGAGGCAAGAGCCATGAGTGTTTTCTTCCTTTTCTCCCCTCCATCCCTGTCTTCCTCCCCAGCTGACCACATATAAGGAGGCTCTGCTTCTGCTCACTACCTCCTCAGCTGACCACCTTAAGAAAATGTCAAGGGAGTCCTGCTTTAGAAATTTCTCTTGAATTTTTTTACTGGGACAGATCCATTCAAAAAATGCCCATGATAAATACTAGCTACTCCTAGTTGCCAAAATAAATTACTTTAGCTGGGAAAGTGAAGGATTTGTTAAGTGGAAAAATAATTTGTAAGAAAAACAAAATCCAAAAGTAGTTTATCTACTGTGTCGTACGCTGTGATTTTTCTGCATTTCTTCTTATCGAAACCAGAGCTGACAGTATAGTATTGCCTGTAGCATGCTGGATGTAGAGCGCTAGGTCTTCTGCAGCTTCCTAAATTTAATTTCTCCTCATTGCTTTAAAAGGTACATACCAGGGGCAATGGACAGGAGGGATGCGACACGGCTATGGTGTACGTCAGAGTGTACCCTATGGCATGGCAACTGTGATCCGTTCACCCCTCCGAACGTCTCTGGCTTCACTTCGAAGTGAGCAGAGCAACGGCACTGTTCTCCATGATGTCACTTCAGACAGTCCGGCTGGAACAAGAGGAGGTTTTGTGCTCAATTTTCACAGCGATGCAGAAGCCGTGGGCATTAAGAAAAAGGGAGGCTTATTCAGGAGAGGATCTCTTCTTGGTAGTATAAAACTTAGAAAATCTGAATCTAGGTCATCGATATCTAGCAAACGGAGCTCTGTCAGGAGCGATGCTGCTATGAGCAGAATTAGTTCTAGCGATGCCAACTCTACAATTAGTTTTGGAGATGGTGACTGTGATTATTGCCCTGTGGAAGACCACGTTGATGCCACCACTACAGAAGCCTATATGGGTGAATGGAAGAACGACAAGCGCAGTGGTTTTGGTATTAGTGAGCGTTCAAATGGTATGAAATACGAAGGAGAATGGTTAAATAACCGGAGGCATGGATATGGATGTACCATGTTTCCAGATGGCACCAAGGAAGAGGGAAAATACAAAAATAATATTTTGGTCCGTGGAATAAGAAAGCAACTTATACCAATACGAAACACAAAAACTAGAGAAAAGGTGGATAGAGCAATAGAAGGTGCACAACGAGCAGCTGCCATGGCAAGAACCAAAGTGGAAATTGCATCGTCAAGGTATGTTATCACAAAATACATTTGTTCATCACTGAATTTTCAGAAACAAAAATGTGTTGCAATGTGTGAGCTCTTATTGGTGACAAAAGACTCAAAAGGGCAAGGGTGTAAATGTTGTCTTTAGTGAGAAGGCTTCGGGGAGACCTTATTGCAGCCTTTCAATGCTTGAATGGAACCTATAAGAAGGATGGGGGTGATCTTTTTAGCAAGGTGTGTTTTGACAGGACATGCAACAATGGTTT